TGTGTGAATCGAGCACACTATCAAGAGAGCTATGCTCGCCACAAGGTTTTATTAAAGTTAAATAATTTAAAAGTTTAACTAGTGGTATATGGTATCGTGCCTTAAGAGAAATTGCTGGAATTTCCCGTACCATAGTGAAATATTCAAGGAATACTAAATGTTTTCAAATAGATTATTATAAATACTGTAGCTTTCATTATTTGTGTGTTATAGACAGATTATAAGAGCTTATAAAAAATATTTTTTGTAAATATTTTTTTTTGTATAAATCTTGAAATATTTTTTTCTTCCAAAAGCAATCGTTTCGTCACCACATGCAGAATGTTTTTTCGATCAGTCAAATGGATGCTCCGTATTTCCGAAACGACAAGACTTGTCTTTGACAAAAACTAATCAGTATGTTCCCCCATCAGTATGAATCGAATATTTTTTGAACAATTCAAATCGATTGATTCGTCGAAATTTCTAAAGTATGCCAAAATGTTCAGAAACCTCTGAAACGTTAAGATAGGCAAAAAAAGTCAATTTCGCTTTTTGGACAATTGCAATAACTTACCCTACAGGAAGTTAATATAAAAATGAAACTAAAAAATTGTTTTTTTTTAGAAAATATTTTTTCTTATCTCTGGACTTTTCATATTTTTTTGATAAAGTAAACCTCAGGTTTACTCTTCTGTTATTTTGATGAAACTTTGCATAGTGATAAGTCAAACTGAACACCTTAAAATATTATAGGCCTATGGGAAGTGGTTTAATTATAAAAATTGATTAAAGTTTTGAAAAATAGACCGTATGCGTACAGTGTTTCATATTAATAAATCTCGGTAGCTCAGTGAGTTTAAGCGCTGGTTTCCACTTTTTGTGCTTGTATTCATAGATAAGAGAGTTAAAAATGATCAGGTTCAAATCTTGTCAACGTATAATTTATTTTTATTTTTTTTCTTTCATTTTGAATAGTTAAATATTTATCTTTTTTGCAGTAATTCGTTTTTGCTTCTAAGCAACGACAGTATAAAATATTGTACTTTTTTATAATTAACATTAGTATTTATTTTTGTTTCTAGTTAAGTTTGTCTTCTGTCCAAAAACCAGCCAGACAGGATAAGACTTATTTTCGTAAATTAGAAAATCGATTGAACGATTGTTAAAGTAGTTCTATTTGAAATATCTTTGAAATGAATGTTGAAAATATTTGAAATTTATTTAAAATAATTCTATTTGAAATTTATTTAAAATATATTACTATGATAATCTAGGATAAAAAACTCTTAATCCGGAAAAAAAATTGCTTCTATAAAAATCCGGGACGCAAGTTGAAAATCCGGGACTATCCCGAACAAATCTGGACCTTAAATTATTCAAATTCACTTTAAATTTACTCTAGTATTATTATTATTGAAGTACAACTAATTTTATTGAAAATTTACAACTCATTCATAGCAATTCATAAACAGTTATTTATAATAAATCCCAGTACAATTATTTATTATATCTTTTTTACTGACAAAAGGTTTACCTGATATAAATCAAATACAGCAAAAAATTATTTAAATGTACATTGCCTATATTGTTTTTCACTTTCATAATGCTCTTCATGGAAGAGCAATTCTTTGAAATCAAATTGAGCATGGATATTCAATCAAATAAAATTGCATTTTATTTATATCGTTTACAAATATTAAACCATCCGATCAACATAAATGATATGTGGTAAAATTAAATACTATACACAATTTTCTCATAAAGGAACAAGTTGAATCGATATTCAATAATGAATTATTGTGTTATTGAATTGTGTTATTGTTAACTTCACTTTCATATATATATTTAAACTTTTATGCAATTCGATTGATATAAATAAAATACATTTTGAGAAAAACCGTTTTGTGGTGATGGGTTAAATGATTTGGCGAGTGAAATTAGTTGATTGGTTTTTCCATTATGGTGATAGTTTTTTTTAATTAGTACTAGTATTCTTCATAATTGTAATCGACTAGCTATAAATAATTTCCTCTTGATTTTTCCAATAAGTTGTTAGTTTTATATACATAGTCTTCTTTTTAGTGCTGCCTCTTCATTACTTCGTTATTTTAAGGTCGTGACCAGAGCATGTGTTGTTTGTCCGGATATAGTTTTTTCTATAATGACTCTCGTTTGTATCGATTTGCTTGAATAGTATTTTCTGTTGCTATTCTACAAGAAATTCTATGTTTTATTACATCGTAAATTTGTGTTTCGAATAATCTAAATATACTGGAACGATAAAAGTGTTAATGTGGCTCCCACAGCCAGGAAATTACGCTAATTATTGCTTGTATCTATTACGAGATGTTTGGTTTTGTATATACATGAACGCAATTGTAAAATGTATAATATATATATATATATATATATATATATATATATATATAATTACCTATCTGGTTTCATATTATATTTGTCATGGAATTGTGAAACACGATCTTTTTACATGCGATTCAAAAGGTTTAAATTTATATACGACGATTTCAATTATTGCAATCGAACTAAAGAAGTAGATTCAAGAGATATGAAACAGATTTATTGGTTTCTATGATCTATATCTGCTCCTGTATATTAATTTTAGTGATGATACTTGACGGGGCAATACTGTATTGCATCGAAGTACATCGTGAAGTGCTGAAAGCTGTTAAAGTGATTACTGTGCTCGTATTATGTGATATTTAACATTACGAATATAATCGATAACTGTCTATAACCATACATGTTAATAAAATGAATTATTAACTCACCGTGGGGCAAGTTTTAGTAATCGCAAAAAAATCGAAAATGGACATTTTTGCATCTCTTTCTTTTGCAAAGGCTTCATTGTGGCTTACCTTAGAATGTGGATACAAATTTTGTCAATAGTACGGATCAACCGATTTCAATAATTCCTATTGATATGTAGACGTTAGATTTGGCGTGTCAAGCTATTTCGGAAGTACGAAGCAAAAATTGACAAAATTGATGATTCAGTTTAGTATAATTCAGAAAACTTTTCACTTGTATTAAGGTGACCATACGTCCCGGTTTGGCTGGGACAGTCCCGAATTTGCACCTTGTGTCCCAGGTTTTTCTAAAAGCAATATTTTTCCCAAATTTATATCTTTTGTTCCGGGTTTTCGAAAATTTATTGGTAAATTACCAAAACTTACAAAAACTAACGAATAAGTGCTATAAGATATAATATAATACCGTAGATAAAACAAGTATTACATATAATCTAAAAATAAAGTTAAATGATTTAAAAAAAATGGTTCATATAAAAAAACTGTTTTTTTTTTATAGTATCTTTAAATGGCATTTATTATTTTAAAGACCTACCTATCCCTCGTCCCGGATTTTCATAACTTAAAATTGCCGTCCCGGTTTTGATTAAAAAAATATGGTCACCTTACTTGTATTGAAGGAATGAAGAATTTTCTGTGAATGTAATTCGACCAGAATTACATTCACAGAAAAATAATGAAAACTACTTAATAGTAGTTTGATTAGTATATTATTACTTTTGTCATAATTGTCAAATCATAATTGTGTAAAAGTTATAATATAATACTAAATATTTTTTAGCTGGTTGTATATCATTGAAAGAGCTCATTTACGGACAAACATTATCGTATACAGAACATAGAATACAAAATAGCATTACTTTGAGACATTATATATCTAGAAAGTCCTAAAACTGCCTTTGAGACGAAAAAAAACACTTTTTTCGATCCAAATCTTTGTATTAGTAAAAAATTTCAAGCAAATATCTGCACATGCTAACGGATTTAGTAACTGTTTAGGGATGTCGGATATGGCAAATCCTGTGAGACAACTCCACTCGGATTCACTCCGAGGGAGGAGTTGTGTCGGAGTTATAACTCTGGAGTGAATAACCCATATCTAGACTGTGAACACTTAATTCGTGCCCAGTTTCATCTGCCCATCTATAATTAAATTCATATAGGACTTACCATGTGTAAAAAATGCTATTTGGCAGTCAAAAATGATCATTAGACATATGCTCATCAAATTATCAGATATTATAGAGTATTTAATAGCATGTCTAAGTTTTGTCTGCAATTCTCGTCAAAGTTCATTCACATATTCATAGATTTCAAACAAATACTTGAAGGGTTCGAAAATTTGAAAAATATTTCAAAATTTAAAGGAAATTAATTTCTGTACGGGAGGTTTCAACACTTTGCCTTAAGGCACAATCCCATGAACCACTAGTATAAATTTGTTTTGCGCATTTAAATAAGGACAATATAAATGCGAATATTCGCTATGGATGAACGGCCGCCTGCTAAATTGCTTTGGACCGGACAACAAAAATGCGCTTTATGCGTAACGTGCCATTCGTTTTTTTTTTGTTTTGCAACCGATCGTGTTGATATTTTAACTCAATTGTTGGATGTTTGTAGCTGTAGTTTGTAGCTTTGATATATTTATTGTGCCTGTGTGTTTGGAGGACTTTCTACTTTTAACTACTGCACTTGTCCGTGTGCGCGTGGTCGACGCATGGCCAAGTTGAAATTGTCAGTGCAATATAACACACATCAAAGCCAGCTGTTTAAAATTAAATTAGTCGTAATTAAAATAACCTCCTGTCACACAGAGAAGCATCCGAAGGATCGTTTGACAAAATTAGATGTGTACAACGCCAGTCGAATATGATAGCGCTAGTAGGTTTAATTAATACACATGGAAGAACTCGATATATCGATCAGCCGAATCGCCGAATAGACTTGGAAGACGACATAGTCGTAGTCGTAGTCATCGTCGAGCCTACCTTGTTATGGGGTAACCGAGAACAGAAGAAGACAGAGCCGCTCTGGTTCGCTTTTCGCTGCGGGACACGGGACGTGGCGGTGGCGGTGGCGGTGGCGGTAGCGGTAGCATCCCCGTCCGTGCCCGTGCGCATGAGTATTGATTATGGGAGCCGCGCGCGCGTTTCGCTTTAGCCTTGCCTTGCCTTGCCTTGCCTTGCCTCACGCTACCGAACCGAACGTGTAGCATTCGCCCCGATAACACGGAGACCCCGGGCCTAGTACATCGTACACTTTGTGCACAGCCGTACACCTAACTGACACGCCGGCTGTGTATGATGTAACCTTGACATTTGTGCAAAAATCACAATTACAACGATCAGTGACGTGCGATCGGCAGCGGCAGTGATCATCAGTTTGTTCTGTGCTTTTAGTGCCTGTGTCAGTGCCAATACCAAAATCAGTGCATGTATGGCTATTAGCAAACGGCTCTTGTTCAATCAGCTTTAAAATGAGAAACTCTAAGACGACGATCTCGTATGTACGATCGGGCAGGTGTGCTGCCGAAACGTGATACCGCCGAAACTGTATGGGAGCCTAACAGCATAGGTACAGTTCAGTTGCTATGTTGTAATTATATTCGCTCCAAAGTCAATACCCATCGACAATCGATATCTCTTATATAATCGATTAGCTTTAGGGTAACCTTATTACTCTACCAAAACCCACATTACGATAATACTCTCAGCTGTCTTAATAACAAGCATTCAAATGGATGGATAACTAACAAAAATTGACTACAATTAACTCTGTGCTACTCATCAATCGCGAAATAAAAATTAAGACCTTCGATCATGCTTGATTCAATTATCATTATATATATATATATATATATATATATATAATGTTTACGTACAAATTGTTTATAAATAATAATTATATATGCAGTTATAGATAAATTATACGATAGCTAATTGTGAAATCAGTAAGCTATTGCATATAAATCGTATCATTCAATGGTTGCTTTCAGGGTTATATATATTACGTAACAGAATGGATATATTATATTTCCAATGATAATTTTTGACATGCGATTTTATTTTTAAGCTCTTCGATATTGTTATAACGATATAAGATATATATATATATATATATATATATATATATATATCTATATATATATATAAAATTTTCATGTCGTGATGTTCGTTGCAATACTTCTCCAGTTTGACCGATTTTTATGCAATTTTATAATCACGTTCTGACTGAGATCTGACTGAGAATCTGCCAAGATCTATTTTTCACACCCCTAATTAGTAAGGGTTTGCTTCTCTTGACCAATTTATTTTAATTCTTTATGATTTGTACTCAAAAATCACATACAGCCCTAATTTTTTACCCTCCTACCACAACTCCTATTTTGTAGTAGTCGATTAATTTTAGACACTGTTCAAATATATGTCAACACTGTAAATTTTTCCACAGAGTTTTTAAAATTTACTAGATTCGCTAGGCGACCACTTCATAATTCAGAAATGAATGTTAGGATTTTGCTTTGTAATTAAAAAATTAATATTTTTGGAAAACGTGGTAATAATATATCAAAACTTTGAATATCCGAATTGTGCTGATTCAATTTAAATGAAAACAGTTTCAGATTAAGCACTTGAAATCACTATCAATATGCCCCAGAAACATTTATATGTGGAAAGTGTTGCAATGGGAGAACCATCCTTATAATTTGCGTAAGCTGCCTCTTTCACTTATATATGCTATTCACAATCAGTTAATTATATTTTATACTAAAAATTTCTAAAAATATTTTTTACGTTTGCGGGCCCAGCTAGTATATCTAACAATGTTTTACAAAAATAGTTCCAGTGTGTGTATATAATATATCATGTTTCCATCTGAATCAGATATTTTCCCCATTGTTACATTATTCTGCATAAAATTTCGCTGATGATACGTTTGAAAAGTGTCGTCGCAAGGCACCTGAAATAATTATTATGGAAATATGTTAGGCAAAATTACATTCATGACGAGGTAGCACAACAGCAAGTAATTAATTCAAGTATTACTCTCAGGTGTATAATCGATAGTATTATTCGTGTATTGGTCACATACAGGTAGAAATTGCTGTGCGTACATGAAGCTCAAGTGTTATTTAATCAATGTACAGCCGATCTATAAATATATGAAATCCACGATGTACGGACTAAAATTTAACTGGCCAATGTCAAATGCCTTGGGATATGACAATATGGAGTTTTATTATGGAGAGGGGGTTTCTAATCGCGAAGTCCTAAGTTTCAAAATGAAAATACAATTCCTAGCTGGCATTGCTGACCTAAGTTATTGTTGTGGTGACAGGCATAAAAATAAATTAAAAAACTTATTTATTAGTTATGTTGTCTTCAATTCTAATTGCTGGTAATTAACTACTAATGTGCAACTTACAGCAAATTGACAAAGTAATTTTTGTGTACACAAGTAACAGTTATTATTAAAAGAAATCTAAAAAAACTTACTTTTGACTCTCTGAAAGCTATGAATACAGCCTGCAGATCACAAAAATGTTCCATTATCAATGCGACAATGGAAACTTGTTCGAGCAAACATACTTCATCTTTTTTCTTTTGGACCCTTTCTCAAAATCAGTATAGTTTATGACGACTGTCACTACCGTACCCTGGCACAACCGTACCCAGTCTTCTCTACTAGAGAAATTGTCTAGGATTTGCACACAAAATTTTATATCAGAAGAAATTGCAATTAGAAGAAATCAAAGGATCACAAAAATATCTTGGTTTTCCATAAGCTTGTATTATCTGACCAATTTTCAGAATTGCAAAGTTCTATATAAATTTTTAACGAAACGTTTATTAATTTATATAATGCATTCTGTTATTATTTGTGGTCAAACGTTAATTTAAATATGCTACTCATTATCAACATTTTAACCTTTGTTTTCTCTATAAGCATTTTTCGCAATATTTTCTACCATTGAAAAAATATTTATGCTTTCTAGTTCCCACACGATGTTAAAAAAATGATTTATTTTTTTATTATTTGGTGCAATAATTTTTGAATTCATAATTATGATATCATCATTTATCTTCCATCAAATAGAACGAATTCATTTTGTTTTCGTGTCTAAAATGCCTTTATTTTGTGTTGTGTGCTATCAAGTGCTGTTATTTATTTCTTGGCAGATATTTCATAAAATCATGCCACCTATTCATTAGCATGTAATATATACTTGCTGTACTACAATCCACTTACCTTTTATGAGAGGTATTATTCAGGAAATATTTTCTGTTTGGAAAAAATCCGTGATAAGAATGTGGTTTAGCAACCGATACCCACCTCGGTTAGCTTGATATCATGGAGTAGTGATATCAGATTTAGATAATAGATCCATCTAACATGACAAGTGAAAATAACAATAGCCTTCCGGAGTCGTTGCTCCACTACATAAATCTCTCATCAGTATTAGATAAAAAATATAGATAAAATCTCATTAGATAGAGAATGGTCAGCAGCATATATAATGAATTCTAATAACATGCATTTTAATAACTTTTTGTAAAACATATATATTTTCTAAAACGATTTGTTTCCGCATCAGGAGTTCTAAAAATACTCACAAGATTTACATAAAAGGCAAATGATTCATTCTTGTCAATAATTTACTTATCCGAATTTTGAAATGTTATTTAAGAAGGAAAAGGAAAGCCTTTGATGACTAAAACTACTATTTTACTATTAATTGGATATATGCACAACAAATTATAAGATTTTTTTGGAAAGATTTTAGTCTAAATCTAATATATCTTTTCACTTCTTATTGAAAAGTTTAAAACGTCTCTCGTGATAATAATAGTTTTTATGGAGAAAAAGTTTGCCTTTACCATAATATCAGAAAAATTTAAAAGACGGTAATTGACCATGAAGAAGATGAAAAGTTATTGAATGACTTAAATAACTACTAAAAAATATGAGCTTTTGGGGGGTGAAAATTTATGGTTGCATGTATTTAATTATTAAAAAATAAAATAGAAAATATTGGTTTTAGAAAATTTCAAAAATGTCAGGAAAAGGCAGTATAATACAACACTAAAACAATATTAAGCCTAACATTAGTATTATGTAAAACAATAACTTAAAGAAAAAATGTTATAATCTTGAGATAGTTTATCCAAGGCTTGTAGATGTTGAGATTCTCTGATGATAAAAAAATCTTTTAAATATCCGTAGCGCTTTTTTTATTTTGTCCCAAATCTGGAAAATAATAATTAAGAGCAGTATTAATTATTAAAAAGGTTATATCATATATTATCAGTAGGCATTTCATTATCAAAATATTGTTTAATATCGAAACTGGCAAAATTAGAAGTATCATAGAAACTTTGGGCTTCCAAAAGTATTATTGCCTTAATACATCTTTTAAATTTACTCAAAACATAATATTCAGAATTTTTCAAAATAATTTTTGAGTATATTGGATTATTTTCTTCCTAAATAAAAGTTTTGTACCATTTTCATTTTCATTTTTTTTAAGAAAGGTTTGCCTTCACATACATTGCCTTATATTCTGTATTATTTTTCCAATAATTTTTCTAGAATCTTTCTTTCCCATTGATCAATTTATAATTATCCTCGACGAAAAAAATAATAGTCGAAGAAAAGCTATTCTAAGCAAATTCTATGTATCGTAATATCGTATGACTCCCTTTTTGTGCGCCGCAGCAGATTGAGGCAAAATCAATAAAATATGAAACCATTCATAACACACGTTTTATTAATAATCATATGGCAGAAAAACAATTTATTTAATTATAAAAATGTTGCAAGCTTTTATTGTAAAGAATTTACTAATTAGTAAAACAATTAACTATGACTCTAGTTTTCTGTGTAATATTATGAGGTGTGCTTTCGCAAAATATTTATAAGTCATATGCAAAACTATGACAAAATCCGATTCATACGTAATTAAATATGATTTTTATTACAAACAATAAATTTATACTTTTGAAATTTTAGTGTAAACAAAAATCAATGAAGGTAATTGAGGATTTAAATAAAAAAACTCCTATAGACTATGACTATATGAAATTGAATATGTATCATTTAATTTTGCAAATATATTTAATATATTATTTGCAAAATTATACATAATATTATATAGTTTTGCTTTGCACATTTGCTTTGTATCACCGAATCGCTGGACCTGCCTTTGTCAAAAACTAATCACCATTTCCCTTCATCATTACGAATTGAATGTTTTTTGGATCAATCAATTCGGATGCTCCATTCTCTCAAAAATTCGATTTCTTTTTTCTGCACTCTTTGCTTCATATCTTCGAAACGGCTGGACCAACTTTTGCTAAAAACTAATCAGCAGGTCTCCTTATTAAAAGGAATCGAATGTTTTTTGAACTATTCAAATCGGTTGATCCGTGTGCCCCAATTTGTCGACGAAAAATTGTATCCACACATACACACACACCTCCATTTTCTCTAAGGTATGCCAAAATGTTCTGAAACCTCTGAAACGTAGATATGCAAAATTTTTCAATTTCGATTTTTGAACG